CCCCCCCCTCCACCCGCCAAACACACACACCTTAAGAAAAAGCACGATATACGAACTTTAATTATTTGCTTGACCAAATAAGATGATTAAACAACAGAAAACATATCTCCCTATGATTCCAATACTTTTTTTCTGTTATACTCAATGATAATGAATAAATGGATAAATTAATACTGCAGTTAGTTTGACTTATGATAACAGTAGATTAACTGGACTTTATTTTTGAAATTGGAATTAAACATACAGATAGCATTCATATTGTATCGTATTTTTAAATTTGTTTAACTATCCAACATTCAAAAAAACGCGCCGTCGTAATTTTGTCGTTATTCTATCCGGATATTATCCGTCTCAAATATTAGATAAATATCAAATAGATCTACTTCCGGGTTAAGGTGACGTGACGTCAACAAACTTGACATCATCAACCAAGAAATCAACTAGACTTCGTCGACAAAGATGTCATACGCATATTTATTCAAGTATATTATCATTGGAGATACAGGTAAATATTACTTTCATAAATGCATGCTTCTAATGTTAAAGTAGTATATTGCTTCCATCATCGTCAAAAAAAGCACAGACTGTGTCGCATTATTTCTGCAAACGACGAATATTCACAAAATGGCTGCCCAAACACGAAGCACCACCTATGTCTAATACTAAAACTTCATTATAGTCTTACAAAGGAGAAAAATTGTTTCACTGTCATTGACATTTTGTACTTCCAAAAGTTTCTAATGAAAAATACTTTTAATTTACCATTTAGAGCAATCGTTTCATTGATAATATTTCTATTCTTAATGTGAGAAAAAAAATCGATAACCCTTCATCTGAAAAATTTCTTTGGGATTGTGTGTTGATTTTTACTGAAAATGTCATGATTAGATTTCAAACAACATCTTGGTTGCACATAAACGGAAATGAATTTACGTTGTTGGCAGCAATGTTCATGAGACGTGATATTGTATAATTGTACATCCCTTTGTGTGCTGATGCAGTGGACATCTGTCGATTATGTAATTTTTGTTTTGGGATTATATTTCGTGTAATCAATATTTTAAAACCCTGTATTTTATTTTTGTTTGACACCTGGACAATAATAGACAATAGGTCTATTCATCCCATTCAGTGAAAAACAATAGATCAACCATGATGATATCGCTCGATGACAGTCTAAACAAACATGTGTGGTAGTTAATAGCTATCTAAAATGGAAATAATTAGGCCTACCAACATTTTGTAACACAAATTCTGATAAGAAAACGAGCATGCATTTCATAAATATTCACGGTTACCTTGATACGTCATGTGGGAAAATCATGCCGATTTCAAAGAAAATATTACTCCAGAAGGAAGACGTGTGTTTTTAATCATTTAAGCAATAGATCTCTATTGCATTATAAGTTAATTTCCCCGTGTTTCTGTTGAAAGAATATTTGATAATTATTAAAAAGAGAGTATTAAATGTTTTTATTGTTATTGATTTTATACAAGTTGATTTCACCACACGACTTGCGAGGTACATGTTAGCCCGGGCAAGATAAACTCACTCGATGGGTATCGGTCAAATCTGTCATGCTCTATAGTTTACGTACAAAGAGCGATGTAACTGTGTTACAAATATAACGCTTGATTGACACGCTATTGTAATAAGTGTTTACCTCTGTGCCACTGCCTGTGACGATAATTACACTGTTTATTATGATTGGTATCTAAATGTAAATACAGCATGGATTTGTAATTAAATAAATAGTTAATTTCATATTTTAGTGTGCTTAAAATTTCGTTGGGATTAGATTTCGTGGTTATTTAAGGATTGGTTGTCATATTTTTGACATGCATTGGGGTGTAACATACATTGGCTTACCCTATATATTGAATGGTGCGTGCTAGCGCACCATGTTAAATATGTAGGTAAGCCAATGTATGTTACACACAAATGCATGTCAAAAATATGACAACCAATACTTATATTTACATTTTATGTTAATCAACTTACAGTTCACGCAGAAATAAAGACAAAATATTAGTCTGAACATGTTTCAACGTCAGGGTAAATCCAGACAGAGAACAGCCACCAGTTGACAGTGGAGCAGTGCAATCTCCAATGTAACAGTTATGACGTCATAAGCATAGCGACGTCACAATAGCCCAATGTATGTTATATGGAAATAACATACATTGGGCCCGGTAGAAACATCTAGGCTCTGTGCAGTGGAAATGTAAATATTATAAAACCACGAAATTAAATCCCCAACAAAATATTATGGTTTTACAGCAGTAGTGAAGGAAAAAGTGTACCATAAAATCATTTTTCAACCTTTGATATTGCACATAAACTTCAAACAGTGGCCTAAAAATAGACTTTCTTGTCTATAGCATATAAGTTAGGATAATCATTTTGAAACAATTTTAAATGTTTTAGAAAAGAAATTGTACAAAAAAATAGTCACCATTTGTTTACATATATATACCTTTCCTGGATAGTGATACATTTGTAGAGCTGTATATGACAATGGGATTGGGAGTTACCACAGAAGGGAAAGTTTAACTAAATACATGCTTTTGTCATATGTTGCCTACTTATTGAAAGGAAGTTGTTCGTCATTCTTTCGAGAGGTTTAGATAGCTTTACTAAAATCTTTTATTCATTTTATTTTAATCACAAACAATTTATGATCATTGAATTAATTAATTAATTGACTGGCAAGTATTTTATAGCCTTAGGCCTTTCCCGTGGATCAAGTGAAGGGTCACTGTGTATGTTGTCTGCCTTAAATGTTAAGTCATAGATGTTTTAAATTTCAAATCATTGTGATTGTAAAAAACTCGTCATTATGGCCAGCTGGTAATGAAGTTAAAACTCCATTGAGCTTAACCCTTTGACTGACCAGTGGCCATGTTGACCACTGACCAGATATGGCCAGTATATATGAAGTACAAAACATGTATATATAACATGTATTAGTTACATTGGTTAACTCATTCACCCCTGAAGACACATTTTAACTCTTCCAATTCAAAAAATGGAATAGTTCATTATGAAATTTCAGGGGTGAATGAGTTATTAAAGGCAGGTGTTCAGAGAATTATTTTATTATTTTTGACAGGTAGATGGACAACATTTTGTGAATATATACTATGATTATGCACAATAAGTAGGACATGTTTGTCCCAGTAGATTTAAGGATGATTGTACCAACAACATACCTGTGCTGAAAATTTAATTCAGAAACTGTGATCATTTTATTTTTTGCGATGACAGGCGGAGGGTGTATACAATTTTCACTGAACTGTGTCCTTTTTACTCAATTGGGTCAAGGATTTGAGTAAATACAATGGATGTACCTGTCTCTGTAAAAGACTAAAATAACATAACACACATGGCTAGTTATGATAAGTATTTTTCGTATGGTACATTACACATCAGCATTCTGAAGGTTATTTTCTTTGGTATTTATAGCAGTATCATTCTCAGTAGATGAATATTTTTATCAGGGATATAAATCAAGTGAATTGCGTTTATGACAATATCTGCTTTCATCAGTAGGCCAAATAGTTCAATATCTTTTTGTTATTGTAAAGAGACTCCAGTCATGGACATTCTGTGGGTTCCAATTCCAGCCTCTGTCCCACTCTATTATACAAGATAACAAAACGTTGCCCCCCTTGCCGAGTTATTTTTTACCAACCGTAAAACAAAGTGGTTAAGTTATGTCAGTTTTAAGGAGAAAACACTTTACTTGCAAGATAAACCACAGTGAGGTTTTTGCGTGCATAGAGATAAAGTCCATGCAGGGATCTTGATATTTTATACATGTACAATTCATTTCAATTCACTCACTGACACAGATATTTTATACATGTACAATTCAATTCACTCAGACACAGATATTTTATACATGTACAATTCAATTCACTCACTGACACAGATATTTTATACATGTACAATTCACTCACTGACACAGATATTTTGAAAACTATAAATTTGGGAATTCAGATTGATTCACATGATCACTGACATATATATATATAAGCTTATATTTTCTTACAGAGACAATCATAGTGGCCATCTATGTGTTATATGTTCAGTCCGACATCACAATTACCAATTGGGATATCATTTTCTTGTCCTTTGGCAATTGATTTCAAATAATATGTAATAGTATTATTTAGTTTTCTTTCAAGCATTAATGATTATAATTAACTAAACATGCAGTATCTTGATCTGGTTTGAAAAATATGGTAATGTCGTGCACTTCTAGTGAATTCTGGGTAAACCAAATTTAAATAACTGTTAGGGAAATTAAAAGAACGAAAAGACTGGAAATAACAAAATAACAGGGTTCCTAATTATGTAGACACTGTATATTAATTTTGTTTTGCAGGGGTTGGAAAATCCTGTCTCCTCCTTCAGTTCACAGACAAGAGATTCCAGCCTGTCCATGATCTGACTATAGGTAAGTTCTTTTCAGTGTGTAGCTAACTTGAAAACAAATATTTAAAACTTCACATTGAAATATATATATACTGGTAATATAACAAAAATGATGAATATCAAAAAATGAGTTCCAAAATGGTAGTTGAAAAGTACTTTCAAGTAAAATACAGATGGAGGCATAGAAGAGGCCTGAATCTCACCACTATTTACTTTTCACCTCATGTGCTGTGAAAGGACTGTTATATGGTCTATTGGTATAAAAAGTCTTTTAAAATAGTGTAGTGTTCAGTTAATAAAAAGAAACCCAGACTGACAGAATATTTCTTGAAGTGTATTTACAGTCATGTATTGATATATACATTTACATTATGTAATGTATTAATGATGGTTATTGACTTTTGGTTCATAGGTGTAGAATTTGGAGCTCGTATGATCACAATTGATGGGAAACAAATCAAACTGCAGATTTGGGATACGGTACGTATTTCAAATGTATATGTATTCAAAACTCATGCCCTTATACAGTGTATTTACAATATTTTCCCTTGTGCTTGCATTGCTGTTTTGAAAACGAAATAGCAAAATGATGTTATTTATATGGGACTAGTCTGATAATAATTTTCTAAAATGATGGTTGGTGACTCTGATAATGTTTGAAAAGACATCAGCCAATGCCTCTGCGGACCAGTCTGACTCAGCTTTATAAACTTTACATCAGCTACAAGTGTAAACAATTATTTAATGTAACTTTTTTTTGAGATATTGTCAAAAGCAAGAATAAATCTCACCTAAGACCTATGATTTGTTATGTTAAAGAGTCTATCAAGTCTAAATTATTTATAACATATTTTTTTGCCACACTTGAGTTATGAAATATCATATGACTTGTTATACTTACAGGCTGGACAGGAATCGTTCAGGTCTATTACCAGGTCTTACTACAGAGGAGCTGCTGGAGCCCTGCTGGTGTACGACATCACCAGGTAAGTTATCTCCAGCTGATACTCATAATATTCATGGACCAGGTTCTTTGTAAATGTGTGAAAAGTAAATTAATGTTGATAGCAGGAAACATTTTTTAATTAATCGTGACTTATTTTCAAAGTTGCTTTAAAAGATCTGTGAATCTTGCAAAACTCTTTATGTACTTGCACAATTTCTGGATAAATATCGTTTAACATACAGGATGAAAGTCTTGCTTGCAAATATATACATCAGAGCAGTTCAATTATTACTACAGATGAACTGTGATGTTGAATTATTGTACTGTATTTTTTCAGGAGAGACACATTTAATCATTTAACGACTTGGTTGGAAGATGCTCGGCAACATTCCAACTCTAACATGGTCATCATGTTGATAGGGAACAAAAGGTAACTTTAGTACTCAGACATCATGTTGATAGGGAACAAAAGGTAACTTTAGTACTCAGACATCATGTTGATAGGAAACAAAAGGTAACTTTAGTACTCGGACATCATGTTGATAGGAAACAAAAGGTAACTTTAGTACTCGGACATCATGTTGATAGGGAACAAAAGGTAACATTAGTACTCAGACATCATGTTGATAGGGAACAAAAGGTAACTTTAGTACTCAGACATGTATTTGTGAAAAATCATAAAATTCTCCGTGTTAGGAGAGTGAAAAATAGATGATTATATGGTTCAAGGAAATGAAAGTTTAAAATGCTCTGTTCATGTGAATATGTGGTTTGGTTTTAAAAAAGTGTGTTCACACATTCTGAATTTGATTGTTTTAATACATGTATTCATTATTTTAAGGGTTCTGTAAACTTTGTATAAATGGTAAAAACTAATTTAAATTATGTCTTCCTAGAAACATTTTGTTAAAAAGTAAAACAAATGATCTATTTACTCCCTGCAGTGATTTAGAAGCAAGACGGGATGTCAAAAAAGAGGAGGGTGAAGCCTTCGCCCGGGAGCATGGACTGATCTTTATGGAGACTTCTGCTAAAACAGCGGCTAACGTAGAAGAGGTGTGTAGGTCAGAGTTGGAGCTGTTGTGAAAATAGTTAAACTTAATTATGTGAATGTAAGCGTGTAAGAAAAATAAAAACTTTTTCTTTTTTCTTACCTTCAATTTTGTTCTAAGTATGTCATAATGCCCTTTTTCATTTTAAATGCTAATCCTGATGGCAAGTATTATGGTGTAATATTGTCAGTCTTTACAAGAATAATCAAGGATCACTTCAATGCCAACAGAATACAGTTCCATACTCACTATTCTTTTATAAAAATAAATAAATATTAAATAGTAAAATAAAACTTGCCCATTAATCAAATTACATAATATAGTTCATATTAGTGTAAGTATGATATCTTGCATGCTTTTTCAATGAATAGAACAGCCTTGTGTTGTCGTAATATTGGTGACATCAACAATCGGCAATGGCATTCATAGTCAATATGAATAACAGATACATTTGGTCTGGTTATATTGTGCCATTGTCGTTCGATGGAAAGTATATGTCGGTAAATACTCGACTACCCCATCGTGTGTCTTTTCTTGGAAAATTGACTTCAGGTACAACTCGTTAGAGAATAGCACTAAGCATCGTTGAAGCAAAGTGGCCAGTGTTTGAGAAGCGATGTGTATCGTTGATTTTGTTAATTAGCAAAGGAACAATAGAAGCTGTCTCCTAATTAAACTTTTTACCAGTGTATATCAGTGTCAATGTAATCAATTACATATTTCAGGCTTTCATCAACACAGCAAAAGAGATCTACCAGAAGATACAAGATGGTGTATTTGATATAAATAACGAGGTAATTGTTACACTTATTAATAATCTGATTTCTACAATTACAAATTTCTAAAAAAAGAATTTATTTTCTCAATTGAGCAATGCTATGATGTGATGAATTAGATAAAGTGGAGCTGAATCTGAAATGCTACAAAATCTCGCAACAAGTTTGCAATTATGTAACTGAGTGATTATGATAAATCATAATTTCTCTTGTTCTTCGTACAAATCTTGTACACCTGTTTCTTTTAGACTAAACATGTGTATTGTTTAAGCAGATTTGTCTGTACCACTACATCAGTTTCATTGTGTATATCGTTGGAAATATCCTATATAGTCTGTGTTTTGTTTGTTCTCAGGCAAATGGCATTAAGATCGGACCTCAGCACTCGCCTAGCAATCCCAGCATGCCCTCCTCAGGTGGTGGCGGCAGTCAGGGAGGCGGATGTTGTTAACTGGCACCTTCAATACGCCACTGGGATACTTCAAATCCATCAATGTTGTGATGGGAACATCAGCTACAGACAGCGACCACAGCCATTTAAGGATTTCAAACTTCTACCACAAAACCTTGTTAACTCTTTCAGGGCTGTTGACACTGTATGGCATCAACAAAACCAGCCGCTTGGTTCTCAGACTGCCCTATATCATCATTGAACCTGTATGTGTCTACAATCCTGGTGTTCATCCTAACGTCAGCCACAGAAAGAGTTAATCTGGACTTATTGGGTTTTGGAGTAAAAATCAATGATTTTCTTTTGTTCACAATCAGTAAGATGGTATTTTTCCCTTTTGTATTATTTTTTTAATTTGATGTTGTGTGACTATACATACAAATGAGGTTTCTTTGGAATTTGGAGGTCCCACACAGTAACTAAAGGCCTGGTCCTCTGGATCAGTGCCTTTCTTTACTGAGGGGTGTATTAGAAAGGTCTTGTGGACATTTTCTTTTCATCCAAAGTTTGCAAATCTACAGTACTTTTCAAACAATGTTCTGGAATTAGTCTGATCTTATGTGCAATAGTTGATTGGAAAGTCGAGTAGAGATAATGAACGGTGAAACATTGGTAACTTTTAATGTGACATGTTACAGACAATAAAAAAAATATACCAAAAAACCCTGAAGGCAAAAAATATTAATTGAAATTGGATGTGTTGGGTTGCTTGTTTATATCGAGATGTTCCCTGTGAAACTAGTAAGTTATTAGGAACTTTTTGGATTTTATTTCCTAAAAAACCCTTGAAAGTAATAACTGGATGAGCATGGCACATATGTTTGTTGATTGAAATTCTTCTGATATTTAACTTACAAGTGCTTAGTGAAAAGCATTTTTACTCTTCATTATCAATATTTTTTTGTATTTTTATTAAATGTCATTACTATTATTTTCCTTATTAACTTCATATATTTGAGTTGATTTGAGAAGTATTTCATTTCATGAGAGTTACAACACAAGGGGAGACAACTCTTTTATGCTACACACAAATGTTATTTATCACATTAAGTATGTTGTTCTAGAAAGTTATTTTAGAGAGACTATTTATGTTTACTAATTAGCGGCTACTTTTGTTTACTCGTTTACCTATATATTTGTTTGGTAATGTTGTGTGATGTATGTAGTATGGAGTTAGTTAAAATGCATTTTCGTATGAATTTATGGTGGCATTGTATGATCGGAGGTGTGAAATGTCATTTCGATTTAAATTTATGATGAAGGTTCTTATTATTCGCAGATTTGTTGTAGATAATGCAAATATAGAAATGGGAACTATTATTGTCAAGCTACTTTCCTGTGTATGTACGGTCATCAGTTGTTTTTGCTGACAGTTTCAGATCTTGTCAAATTCAGCCATTCTAATACATTAGCAGCCTAATGTATTAGTCTAATGTATGCAGAATCTTATGAAATTATGAAAATTACTTTTTTATTTGACCACTTCATTCTTGACCAAAGTGATACTAGCACATTGTAATTTTAGACAGAAATCACATAATTATTATATTACAAGAAACTGCATTGTTTTATTTAAACATTGGTGTCCCCACAAAGTAATTTGAAAGAAGAAATAATCCATGTTGGAAATGGAATAGGAAGAGTTGTAAATAAAAAATGTGATATTGGTTGTCATCATTATATATTTATACATTCCATAATATAATATCAACTAAACTAAACCAGTCTCTAAGGAGATGGTTATGACAGGAAACCATGGAACTTCTGGTATAACGTACTATTTTAAAGGACACTGATTTGAACAGTGACATATTTCTATAGAAGTATAACAGAAAAAAAATGGTGAAGGGAACTAAGTAGTTAATATGATATGGGTTTTATATAAAGTACATAAAATATTGCTTAACCAAAGAAATATAATTCTTGTCCTCTTTGTACAGAATGATAACACTGATGTAAGGATCGTGACTTACAGAATTTCAAGAGTTTCTTGGTTTTCAGTGTAGCTTTTTTTTTAAATGTAAAAGGAATTCCATATATAGACTGATTAATCCAGTTGGATTTGTAAACAGGCTGAACTAAGCTACACCATTCATTATACACTATCTCCTTACTGACATCAAAAGTAGGAGAACCTTGACTGACGTTTTAACACTATCAATAACCAACCATGTCAGATTTACTGAACTGACACATCCTGCTACAGCACCCACCAATTTGAGCCCATCCATTTAGGTACATCAGGTCCCAAACCCCACAACTTACTGCACATCGACCCCAATCTGTGGAACATCAAGAATTGTGACTGTTAATTATGTTACCTAACTGAAATATTGAGGAATCTGGTTTACTGAGTACTTTCAAGTGGATCAGAAAAGACCTTCAGTTTATGTGTCTGTGAGTGCTAATGCAAGCACACAAAACTAATACTGAAGTTCTTGCTCTTGAAAACCAAATTACCATTAGGTGGCTTTATAAAAAAATGTTATGAAGTAAATTTTTATGATCAGATGACTGAATGTAGTATCCTAATCCTATCAAAGCTGATTGTAGTTTTCTACACTATTAAAGCTGATTGCAGTTTTCTACACTATTAAAGCTGAATTGGTAATTCTGCAATCGTATTTGTAATTGACAACTATGGATGTGTTTGCAGAATGATATATAAGGGTTATTTTCATGACGTAAATTTTAAGTTCCGTTATTACTGATGTATGTAAGCTGGTTTTATGTATGTATGTAAGCTGGTTTAGTTAAATAAATGTTGGTCTTCTACATGTTGCTGTTTTTTCAATGGTAGATGAGTATTTTTTGAGATAATTATCCCTACATCGTATTAATGTGTTTACACCCACAAAGGATTAAAAGGAATATTTCTGAAATCATACTAACTTTATATCAAAATTGATCATGAATCTCCTTATTACAATCATGATGATCATTCTGAAAGTGTCAGTGCCACTCCCCCTGTTATTGCTAAGTGCTAACATGACCAAAGGAGGGGGCAGAATCACACCAATCGACCACCTCCAATTGTTATTTTGAATATAACTGAGGAAAGACTAAATAACATGGGCTAAAGAACCTGTTACTGTACAGCCATTTGGACAGAGTCGTCCTATTTTTAGAGAATTTAATTGACTTAAAAGATTGGCTCTCGATAATTTGCTGTAAGTTTGAAAGCAGAAACATAGATAATTGGAAAAATTAACTGCTTTAAATAAATATTTTGCTTTTGCATTCAAAAAATATCCAGAATTGAATGGAAAAGTTATTGGTGATAAATATGCAGTATAATGAATCAATAAGCACATTATGACTCATTAATAGACAGGTTATTTTTTGTTTGAAAAAATTACATGCATCTAGAAATTAATTCTAAGCAGTTAATGTTGAATCAAAGTTTGACTTATTAAAACCATCAACAGAAATGCTCAAGTGAAGTTTTACGAAGAACACAAACTGAAATATTTAATGTTATATTTCATCATTGCAAAGTTTAAGATGATTTGTTTATGAGATACTGCTGTTGATCTTTCTAATGTAAACAAATTGATTCCAACTTCATTTTGTAAATTCAAATGTTAAAGATGACAGTCATGTGTCAAAATATCAACCCGTTTTGCAAACATTCATGTTAAGGATCATCTTGGCAAGTTAAACTATGAGTTACAAACCATGTACACCTCTCTCAGCAGAACTCTTGGAGAGTGAAGATGCTGCAGGGTTAGGCTCTAGGATATGCTCCGTACATGTTTTTCTTCCTTTGCCTTATTACCAGCGGTATAGGCATAATGTGTATCATCTCTAAAATCATATCTCTCTCTATATATATATAGACATGTATGTACATATTCCTTGCAAATGGTGTTTTTTGTGTGTATATCAGCAGGTTCTCATTCTCTGGGAAAAAATATATTTGAAAGAATTATTTCAAACCTTTAGTTTTGAAACAAAGGTGGAATTGGATAATGTGTAGCTGTGAAGAAAAAGTGGTTTGATGTGCAAATTTGTTTCAATTATCAACTCTAAATTAATTTAATTGTAAATTATTGACAAATATTGACACATTTTAAGAGTTATTTCACTTGTTGCTTTGTTTAGGTCAGATTTTACAAATATTCGTTGTAACTGTATTTGGTTGTGACCACGAACTGAAGCAATGTTTGTTTACGAGGAACATAATGACTGGATCAGTTAACAGTAACTAATTAGAGATGTGACCATGAACTGAAGCAATGTTTGTTTACTAGGAACATAATGACTGGATCAGTTAAAGGTAACTAATTAGGGATGTGACCATGAACTGAAGCAATGTTTGTTTACGAGGAACATGATGACTGGATCAGTTAACTGTAACTAATTAGGGATGTGACCATGAACTGAAGCAATGTTTTGTTTACCAGGAACATAATGACTGGATCAGTTAACGGTAACTAATTAGAGATGTGACCATGAACTGAATCAATGTTTGTTTACTAGGAACAAAATGACTGGATCAGTTAACAGTAAATAATTAGGGATGTGACCATGAACTGAATCAATGTTTGTTTACTAGGAACAAAATGACTGGATCAGTTAACGGTATCTAATTAGAGATGTGACCATGAACTGAAGAAATGTTTGTTTACGAGGAACATAATGACTGGATCAGTTAACGGTGACTAATTAGAGATGTGACCATTAACTGAAGCAATGTTTGTTTACCAGGAACGTAATGACTGGATCAGTTAAGGGTAACTAATTAGAGATGTGACGATGAACTGAAGCAAGGTTTGTTTACCAGGAACATAATGACTGGATCAGTTAAAGGTAACTAATAAGAGATGATTGGTCTGGTGGTTTGAGAGAGATATAGCCAATGCTTCCTTAGACTGCTGTAGTTCCTGTAGTAGATCTAGTTACACCCAGTTCCTGGACTTAGACTGCTGTAGTTCCTGTAGTAGATCTAGTTACACCCAGTACCTGGACTTAATGGTTAAGTATATTGAAAAGAGTAAGGGATGCAATATCACAGAGTTTATTTAGACTGTTTGAATAGATCCCTGAAATTGTTTATGCAGCTGGTTTTGGCCTTGAAGCCAAGTAAACGAAATTGTCTATGATATCATACATGAATCATCAGTAGAGTACTGCTTATTATATAAGTAATCTTGCTGTTGGAATTGACTTTCAAATAGTCAATAATTCAAACAAAATAGTCTAGTATATAACCTGTAACCATTGTAACTTGTGTAGTAATATATATCACAGCTAACTCTTGAGGTTTAATATCATGCATGCTCTGTCATTAAAACATTGTTTACAAGTTTACTGCATGCACTTTGATTCTTTGTGTGGAAAACCATCTCATTGCTACCATGCACTAAAATTATCAGATTACGTACATCTTGGCTGAGATTGATGTAAATTTTATGAAATTCATTAAAAAAGATTTATTGAACATCTTTATTAGTGTGACTATGTATGAACATTATTGTCTAGACTTGTGAGAAAAATATATCAAAATTGATAGCTTTTGGTGGTGTGCCTGTCATCAGACATAGAAACAAAGAGAACTGCTCAGCTATTTCTGGTCATTTATCATTATAAATAATCACGACTGAACACATTGTGATTGTTTTCAGTCAGATGAGGATGATGTTCACTGTTGTTTTAGAAGTATGTACAGGAAAGGGAGAATAAGTCATACAATAGTTCAAAATAAATATAAGCCTATTCAACAATCATGTTAGGGAAGGTATCGGCCCTTGATGTGTTGGCTTTAACAACTTTTCTGTAGTCTGAGGTACACAAGATTTTATCAGTATTTCCATTCTGACTTTAAAGATCAGTTCCCATTGATTTCTGGTATTATTGACATTCAATTCTTAATCTGATAGATATTTAGCACATAAAAGTTTATTGTGGTTTGATTAATGCAGCTATATTCAATGGTTCGAAAAAAGACTGAAACTTTACTATCACCGTTTTAGTGCGATTGATTGTTCTTACACTGGTGGATAATATGTTAATCAGTTTTTTTAAGAACTTTTTTGATAGCAGCTACCAGTGAAAGAAAAATAAACTCTTCGTACCTTACTTAATAACGAAATATGCTAAAATCAATGGAACCGATCTTTAAAAGATTTCAATTATTTCAAGGGGAGATAACTACCTAATATACAATTTAATGTAAATATTTAGTGATGAGTGCAAGACAGAGAAGAGACTTGGGGTAATGATGGCCAGTTAACAGTTGTAGTACAGAGGATTTGTCCTCTCATATGGCATGTTAACAAGAGGATTTACCCTCTGAAGCTTGAGGGATGACAAGGATTTGTCCTGTCTGGTTGGTAAACAAGTGCAGAGGATTTGTCTTCTGATGCTGGCCATTTAACAAGTGTATGTATAGAGGATTGGTCCTCTAATGATGGCTAGTATTGTCGTTTGTTGCTGGCTAATAACAAGTAAAGAGGACTTGTCAACTTGTTCTGGCCAATAACCAAGTATAGAGGACATGTCCTCTTGTCCTGGCCGATAACCAATTACAGCGGATTTGCCGTCTTGTTCTGGCCGATAACCAAGTACAGGGGATTTGCCGTCTTGTTCTGGCTGATAACCAAGTATACAGGACTTGTCCTCTTGTTCTGGCCAATAACCAAGTACAGCGGATTTGCCGTCTTGTTCTGGCCGATAACCAAGTACAGAGTACATGTCCTCTTGGTCTGGCTTTTTCGGCCAGAAAAAGTATAGAGGACTGGTCCTCTGATAGTAGGGGGGG